AACACTCATGTTCACCTCAGAGCAGTCAAGAGCACATTTCAACAAATAGTGAGGCAATGTGCTCAATCATACTGGCTCGGTTTGTGCAAGAAGATACAAATATCATTTGAGAATGAAGATCTAAGAGGTATTTAAAAATAATTAATTAAAAAAAAAAAAGACTGCTCCACTCAATCTCTTAATAGTACCATCATTGACAGAAGCAAACAGATGCAGTGTGGGGTGGAACAGAATCACAAACTTTATTCAGATAAAACCAGTTTCTGAAGCAGCATTAAATGTAATCCCCAGGCTCCAGACAATCAATACTTGATATAGAACCAACTATACATGAACTTGTCAAGTAGGTGGCTGCCCTTTTTCATCAGGAAAGGCCACAGGAGAAGATGGAATTGTGGCTGAAGTATGAAACAAGGAGAACTGCTGTGCTTCAATATTTGCACAATGTTTGTTAGTTGGAGGGAAAGAAGAGTACCATAAGACATGAAGGCTGCTAACAGCGTAACATTGTATAAAAATAAAGGAGATTGGAGTGACTGTAACAACTACAGTACATAGGAAAATCTCTCCTTAGTGTTGCTGGCAAGGCATTTGTACCGGTCATTCTCAACAGACTGCAAGTTCTTGCTGAACGCATATATCCAGTCAGTGCAGCTTCCATGATGGTAGATCAACTATTAATATGGTCTTCATACTTCGACAACTTCAAGAAAATTGTCTAGAACAAGGAAAATCTCTCTCTTTGACCTTCATAGATCTTAGAAAGGCTTTTGACCTGGTTGACAAAAAGGACCCTTTTCAATTGCTAGAGAGAATTGGCTGCCCTCCAGTTCTCCTTAGTTTGATTTGATTATTTCATGAAGACTACAGTCCAATATGATGTTGATCAGTCAGACAGCTTTGAAAATCTACAGTAGTATCAAACAAGGATGTGTTTGGGCATTAACGCTTTTTTTTTCTCTCTGCTAATTAGTCATACTTTCTCATCTAGCACTGAGGATATAAATCTCCATACAAGATCAAATTGAAAACTCTTCAGTATTGCATGTTTAAGAGAGAAAAAAAACAAGGTTAAACCTGTGTTGATAAGAGAACGTCTTTTTGCGTTGGTGCAGTGCTCTTTGCACATAGTGAAGAGGAGCTCTGGAAACTTTGCAATATCTTTGTGTTTGCTTGTGATGAAATTGAACTATCCATCAGTCTAAGGGTATGTCTACACTACGGAATAAGGTCGAATTTATAGAAGTCGGTTTTTTAGAAATCGGTTTTATAAATTCGAGTGTGTGTGTCCCCACAGAAAATGCTCTAAGTGCATTAAGTGCATTAACTCGGCGGAGCGCTTCCACAGTACCGAGGCAAGCGTCGACTTCCGGAGCGTTGCACTGTGGGTAGCTATCCCACAATTCCCGCAGTCTCCGCTGCCCATTGGAATTCTGGGTTGAGATCCCAATGCCTGATGGGGCTAAAACATTGTCGCGGGTGGTTCTGGGTACATATCGTCAGCCTCCCGTTCCCTCCCTCCCCCCGTGAAAGCAAGGGCAGACAATCATTTCGCGCCTTTTTTCCTGAGTTACCTGTGCAGACGCCATACCATGGCAAGCATGGAGCCCGCTCAGGTAACCGTCACCCTATGTCTCCTGGGTGCTGGCAGACGCGGTACGGCATTGCTACACAGTAGCAGCAACCCCTTGCCTTGTGGCAGCAGACGGTACAGTACGACTGGTAGCCGTCATCGTCATGTCTGAGGTGCTCCTGGTCGCCTCTGTGAGGTCGATCAGGAGCGCCTGGGCAGACATGGGCACAGGGACTAAATTTGGAGTGACTTGACCAGGTCATTCTCTTTAGTCCTGCAGTCAGTCCTATTGAACCGTCTTATGGTGAGCGGGCAGGCGATACGGACTGCTAGCAGTCGTACTGTACCATCTTCTGCCGAGCAGTCATGAGATGTGGATGGCATGCAGTCCTTCTGCACCGTCTGCTGCCAGCCAAAGATGTAAAAGATAGATGGAGTGGGTCAAAACAAGAAATAGACCAGATTTGTTTTGTACTCATTTGCTTCCCCCCCCCCCCTGTCTAGGGGACTCATTCTTCTAGATCACACTGCAGTCACTTACAGAGAAGGTGCAGCGAGGTAAATCTAGCCATGTATCAATCAGAGGCCAGGCTAACCTTCTTGCTCCAATAAGGACAATAACTTAGGTGCACCATTTCTTATTGGAACCCTCTGTGAAGTCCTGCCTGAAATACTCCTTGATGTAAAGCCACCCCCTTTGTTGATTTTAGCTCCCTGAAGCCAACCCTGTAAGCGCCCCTCCCAGCGTCAGAGCAATGGCAAACAATCGGGCATCTGAGAGTGCTGTCCAGAGCAGTCACAATGGAGCACTCTGATGGGGCTAAAACATTGTCGCGGGTGGTTCTGGGTACGTGTCGTCAGGCCCCCGTTCCCTCCCTCCCTCCGTGAAAGCAAGGGCAGACAATCATTTCGCGCCTTTTTTTCCTGAGTTACCTGTGCAGACGCCATACCACAGCAAGCATGGAGCCCGCTCAGGTAACCGTCACCCTATGTCTCCTGGGTGCTGGCAGACGCGGTACGGCTTTGCTGCACAGTAGCAGCAACCCCTTGCCTTCTGGCAGCAGACGGTGCAATACGATTGGTAGTCGTCCTCATCGTGTCCGAGGTGCTCCTGGCCGCGTCGGCTGGGAGCGCCTGGGCAGACATGGGCGCAGGGACTAAATTTGGAGTGACTTGACCAGGTCATTCTCTTTAGTCCTGCAGTCAGTCCTATTGAACCGTCTTATGGTGAGCGGGCAGGCGATACGGACTGCTAGCAGTCGTACTGTACCATCTTCTGCCAGGCAGGCAAGAGATGAGGATTGCTAGCAGTCGTATTGCACCATCTTCTGCCAGGCAGGCAAGAGATGGGGATGGCTAGCAGTCGTACTGTACCATCTTCTGCCGAGCAGCCATGAGATGTGGATGGCATGCAGTCCTTCTGCACCGTCTGCTGCCAGCCAAAGATGTAAAAGATAGATGGAGTGGGTCAAAACAAGAAATAGACCAGATTTGTTTTGTACTCATTTGCCTCCTCCCCTGTCTAGGGGACTCATTCCTCTAGGTCACACTGCAGTCACTCACAGAGAAGGTGCAGCGAGGTAAATCTAGCCATGTATCAATCAGAGGCCAGGCTAACCTCCTTGTTCCAATAACAACGATAACTTAGGTGCACCATTTCTTATTGGAACCCTCCGTGCAGTCCTGCCTGAAATACTCCTTGATGTACAGGCACCCCCTTTGTTGATTTTAGCTTCCTGAAGCCAACCCTGTAAGCCGTGTCGTCAGTCGCCCTCCCTCCGTCAGAGCAACGGCAGACAATCGTTCCGCGCCTTTTTTTCTGTGCGGACGCCATACCACGGCAAGCATGGAGCCCGCTCAGCTCACTTTGGCAATTAGGAGCACATTAACCACCACACGCATTATTCAGCAGTATATGCAGCACCAGAACATGGCAACGCGATACCGGGCGAGGAGGCGACGTCAGCGCGGTCCCGTGAGTGATCAGGACATGGACACAGATTTCTCTGAAAGCATGGGCCCTGACAATGCATGCATCATGGTGCTAATGGGGCAGGTTCATGCTGTAGAACGCCGATTCTGGGCTCGGGAAACAAGCACAGACTGGTGGGACCGCATAGTGTTGCAGGTCTGGGACGATTCCCAGTGGCTACGAAACTTTCGCATGCGTAAGGGCACTTTCATGGAACTTTGTGACTTGCTTTCCCCTGTCCTGAAGCGCATGAATACCAAGATGAGAGCAGCCCTCACAGTTGAGAAGCGAGTGGCGATAGCCCTGTGGAAGCTTGCAACGCCAGACAGCTACCGGTCAGTTGGGAATCAATTTGGAGTGGGCAAATCTACTGTGGGGGCTGCTGTGATGCAAGTAGCCCACGCAATCAAAGATCTGCTGATATCAAGGGTAGTGACCCTGGGAAATGTGCAGGTCATAGTGGATGGCTTTGCTGCAATGGGATTCCCTAACTGTGGTGGGGCTATAGATGGAACCCATATCCCTATCTTGGCACCGGAGCACCAAGCCGCCGAGTACATAAACCGCAAGGGGTACTTTTCGATAGTGCTGCAAGCTCTGGTGGATCACAAGGGACGTTTCACCAACATCAACGTGGGATGGCCGGGGGAAAGGTGCATGATGCTCGCATCTTCAGGAACTCTGGTCTGTTTCAAAAGCTGCAGGAAGGGACTTTATTCCCAGACCAGAAAATAACTGTTGGGGATGTTGAAATGCCTATATGTATCCTTGGGGACCCAGCCTACCCCTTAATGCCATGGCTCATGAAGCCGTACACAGGCAGCCTGGACAGTGGTCAGGAGCTGTTCAACTACAGGCTGAGCAAGTGCAGAATGGTGGTAGAATGTGCATTTGGACGTTTAAAGGCGCGCTGGCGCAGTTTATTGACTCGCTTAGACCTCAGCGAAACCAATATTCCCACTGTTATTACTGCTTGCTGTGTGCTCCACAATATCTGTGAGAGTAAGGGGGAGACGTTTATGGCGGGGTGGGAGGTTGAGGCAAATCGCCTAGCTGCTGGTTACGCGCAGCCAGACACCAGGGCGGTTAGAAGAGCACAGGAGGGCGCGGTACGCATCAGAGAAGCTTTGAAAAACAGTTTTATGACTGGCCAGGCTACGGTGTGAAAGTTCTGTTTGTTTCTCCTTGATGAACCCCCCCACCCCTTGGTTCACTCTACTTCCCTGTAAGCTAACCACCCTCCCCTCCTCCCTTTAATCATTGCTTGCAGAGCCAATAAAGTCATTGCTGCTTCACATTCATGCATTCTTTATTCATTCATCACACAAATAGGGGGATGACTACCAAGGTAGCCCAGGAGGGGTGGTGGAGGAGGAGGGAAGGAAAATGCCACACAGCACTTTAAGCACAGCACTTTAAAAGTTTACAACTTTAAAATTTATTGAATGACAGCCTTCTTTTTTTTGGGCAATCCTCTGTGGGGGAGTGGCTGGTTGGCCGGAGGCCTCCCCACCGCGTTCTTGGGCGTCTGGGTGTGGAGGCTATGGAACTTGGGGAGGAGGGCGGTTGGTTACAGAGGGGCTGCAGTGGCAGTCTGTGCTCCAGCTGCCTTTGCTGCAGCTCAACCATACACTGGAGCATACTGGTTTGGTCCTGCAGCAGCCTCAGCATTGAATCCTGCCTCCTCTCATCACGCTGCCGCCACCTTTGAGCTTCAGCCCTGTCTTCAGCCTGCCACTTACTCTCTTCAGCCCGCCACTTACTCTCTTCAGCCCTCCACCTCTCCTCCCGGTCATTTTGTGCTTTCCTGCACTCTGACATTATTTGCCTCCACGCATTCGTCTGTGCTCTGTCAGTGTGGGAGGACAGCATGAGCTCGGAGAACATTTCATCGCGAGTGCGTTTTTTTTTTCTTTCTAAGCTTCACTAGCCTCTGGGAAGGAGAAGATCCTGTGATCATTGAAACACATGCAGCTGGTGGAGAAAAAAAAAAAGGGACAGCGGTATTTAAAAAGACACATTTTATAAAACAGTGGCTACACTCTTTCAGGGTAAACCTTGCTGTTAACATTACATACATAGCACATGTGCTTTCGTTACAAGGTCGCATTTTGCCTCCTCCCACCGCGTGATTTTGGTTGAATGCCAGCAAACATACACTGCAATGCTTTGTTCTACAGTGATTCCCCAGTACGTGTTGCTGGCCTGGAGTGGTAAAGTGTCCTACCATGAAGGACGAAATAAGGCTGCCCTCCCCAGAAACCTTTTGCAAAGGCAGAACCGCAAATGCCAGGGCAAAGTAATCCTTTCACATGCTTGCTTTTAAACCATGTATAGCATTTTAAAAGGTACACTCACCAGAGGTCCCTTCTCCGCCTGCTGAGTCCAGGAGGCAGCCTTGGGTGGGTTCGGGGGGTACTGGCTCCAGGTCTAGGGTGAGAAACAGTTCCTGGCTGTCGGGAAAACCGGTTTCTCCGCTTGCTTGCTGTGAGCTATCTACAACCTCCTCATCATCATCTTCTTCGTCCCCAAAACCTACTTCTGTATTGCCTCCATCTCCATTGAAGGAGTCAAACAACACGGCTGGGGTAGTGGTGGCTGAACCCCCTAAAATGGCATGCAGCTCATCATAGAAGCGGCATGTTTGGGGCTCTGACCCAGAGCGGCTGTTCGCCTCTCTGGTTTTCTGGTAGGCTTGCCTCAGCTCCTTCAGTTTCACGCGGCACTGCTTTGGGTCCCTGTTATGGCCTCTGTCCTTCATGCCCTGGGAGATTTTCAGAAAGGTTTTGGCATTTCGAAAACTGGAACGGAGTTCTGATAGCACGGATTCCTCTCCCCAAACAGCGATCAGATCCCGTACCTCCCGTTCGGTCCATGCTGGAGCTCTTTTGCGATTCTGGGACTCCATCATGGTCACCTCTGCTGATGAGCTCTGCATGGTCACCTGCAGCTTGCCACGCTGGCCAAACAGGAAATGAGATTCAAAAGTTCGCGGTTCTTTTCCTGTCTACCTGGCCAGTGCATCTGAGTTGAGAGCGCTGTCCAGAGCGGTCAGAATGGAGCACTCTGGGATAGCTCCCGGAGGCCAATACCATCGAATTGTGTCCACAGTACCCCAAATTCGAGCCGGCAACGTCGATTTAAGCGCTAATCCACTTGTCAGGGGTGGAGTAAGGAAATCGATTTTAAGAGCCCTTTAAGTCGAAATAAAGGGCTTCATTGTGTGGACGGGTGCAGGTTTAAATCGATTTAACGCTGCTAAATTCGACCTAAAGTCCTAGTGTAGACCAGGGCTAAGGAAGACAATGATTATGGCACAAGGTGTGTTGACTGCCCTAGAAGTTTTAATAGCTGGTGTTAAGCTAGCAGTTGTGCATGAGTTCTCGTTACTTAGGTTATCCAATATATTTGATACTATCTCTAGATTACTAGCTTAATTCTCACCTCAGACAGGCAGCCACCATATTCGGTCAATTGGCCAAGCACATGTGGGATAACAGGAAAATGACATTGAACAGCAAGATATGGGTTTACCACATATGCATCCTGAGCATGCTGCTATATGGTGAGAGCTGGACTACCTAAAGCACGCATGCGAGAAGGCTAAACACCTTCTACACCCGCTATCTTTGTTTGTATTTTAAATACCAAGTTAGAAACCAAAATTCCTGATACTGAAGAAAGTACTTGAAGAAAGATACTTGAGAAAGTAAAATTGCCAAACAAACATAGGTATCTTCGTTCATTTGGTCACCCTGCACTGGATTGATGATGCATTCCAAAGGACCTCCTGTATGGAGAACTTGTGGATTCTCCAAGGCCACTGGGCCAACCTAGGCTCAGGTTCAAAGATGTTTGCAGGAGGGATTTGAAAACTTTCAACATCAACACTGCAAACTGGGAAGAAGGAGCTAGCAACAGGCTACTGCACCAGGGAGGCAAAGAGTCGTAAGAAAGGTGATGAAGAGAGAAGCAGAGAGTGCAAACAGAGAAAAGTGCAGCAGGCCTCAAGTACCAGTAGTGCTGCACCAGTCTCATCTTCTGGCCCTGTGCCGTACACCTGCACCATCTGTGGCAAGGACTGCTACTCAAGAATTAGACTTTTTAGCAACTCACGATGCTGCAGCATGACACATAGTAACTGAACTGCTTTGGCGCTTACACCATTGTCTTTTGGGACCCACTGTTGCCATCTATCCATCAACTAGTAATTTTGAATGTCGCCGCTAAAAATTGTATTGGGGAAGGGCAGAAACTTACAGATGGATAGTTCTGCTTTGTTTTCTTTTAGTTTGCAATTGACTTGTATTTGCTGTGTGCTTTTTGGATTTTTTTTTTACCATCTTTTTTCTAAGACGACTGTGCTTTTTAAAATTTATATAGTTTTTTCACAAATATGTGAGATTAACAAATAGCTGATAGATTTCAAAGTAAAGTGTGAAATTGTCTTGATATTGGGTTAGATTATACTCTCTTGCACCTTTGTGATTCAGGACTAACACTGTGGGCTCCCATGGAGTTACTCATGAATTACACCACTATTACTGAAAGCAGCATGTAGTCCATTGCCTCTACTTAAAAACAAATACAAATACATTAAATGTTACGAAAGGGACATTAGAAATGAGTGGGTTGCTGCTTTGCTTTCTGCCTAAAAAGAAAACCCTTTTCAATGTAGCTTTCTGTACAAATAACGTTCTCTGGGCTTTTTTTATGACAAAACTTATTGATGCTGAAAAAGAAGTGGATCTGCATGCATCTGAACTTGTGATCCACCACTGCTCCTCTAACCTACAGTTATGCAGTTGTTCCCATAATACAGATTTATGAAGACTCCCTTTTACTAAATGATTTATTACTCTTAGCTGAATTCCTTTGGCCATTGACTTTATTTCCAAGTCACTCTGTTCAGCTCAATTGGTTGCCTTCAGTTACCGTGGCAACCAGCAGATGGGGTTCTTTGACAAGGGTCAGTGGGGAGGCTGCTGCAGTATACCGGAAGAGCAGCTAAATAACACAGCTTTCAGCACTGACAGTCCTGCTCTGGCTGGCCAGGAGTAGTTATCAGATTACTTGTATTAAAACCTAATTAAGATGTGTGCCAGTAAATGCAGCATGGTTATTGAATTTGGTGATTTAGCTGCTGCAGGTTGCTGTAATTTAATCATACTACTTCCCCAAATTCAGCTATGCAGTGAAGAGTGGAAGTGTCTTGCATGCATAACCTGATGGCACTAAAATAAGTTAATCTTTTAATGAGTCCACTTTTTCAGGTCTAAAATCCCCAATCCTGCTCTTTAGTCTGGATGCTGTCTGCAAACCCCAATGGATCAGTTTATTGATAATAAATGTAAACATCTGGAGAGGGACTAACAAGCTTCATACCATCCTCTCCTCTTTGTTCATAGTCACCTGTGGGATTATTGAGTATAATTTGGGTTGTAAACTCCCTGGAGCAGAGACCTGTCAATATATTTATGTCGAAAGCCTCACTATTAGAATAAAAATACCAAATACTTCACTCCTGTGAAGATATCATTTTGTCTGGTACACAGAAAATGTCAACATAACTTTTTGTGTTACTATCATTTTGTGCATGAAACTTTATTTTCTTTGGATGAGATTCACCACAGTGTAGAAGGCCTGTCCAAAACCCAGTGTACCATCTACACTGAGCTCAGTTTTCAGAGTAGCAGCCGTGTTAGTCTGTATTCGCAAAAAGAAAAGGAGTACTTGTGGCACCTTAGAGACTAACCATTTTATGTGAGCATAAGCTTTCATGAGCTACAGCTCACTTCATCGGATGCATAAAGTGGGAAATACAGTGAGGAGATTTATATACACACAGACCATGAAAAAATGGGTGTTTATCATACACATTGTAAGGAGAGTGATCACTTAAGATGAGCTATTACCAGCAGGAGAGTGGGGTGGGGGGAGAGAGAACCTTTTGAAGTGATAATCAAGGTGGGCCATTTCCAGGAGATAACAAGAAGGGGGGGGGGGGGGAGAGAATAAACAAGGGGAAATAGTTTTACTTTGTATAATGACTCAACCACTCCCAGTCTCTATTCAAGCCTAAGTTAATTGTATCCAATTTGCAAATTAATTCCAATTCAGCAGTCTCTCGTTGGAGTCTGTTTTCGAAGTTTTTTTGTAGAAGAATAGTCACTTTTAGATCAGAAATCGAGTGACCAGAGAGATTGAAGTGTTCTCTGACTGGTTTATGAATGTTATAATTCTTGACATCTGATTTGTGTCCATTTATTCTTTTACATAGAGACTGTCTAGTTTCACCAATGTACATGGCAGAGGGGCATTGCTGGCACAGGATGGCATATATCACATTGGTAGATGTGCAGGTGAACGAGCCTCTGATAGTGTGGCTGATGTGATTAGGCCCTATGATGGTGTCCCCTGAATAGATATGTGGGCACAGTTGGCAACGGGCTTTGTTGCAAAGATAGGTTCCTGGGTTAGTGGTTCTGTTGTGTGGTATGTGGTTGCTGGTGAGTATTTGCTTCAGGTTGGGGGGCTGTCTATAAGCAAGGACTGGCCTGTCTCCCAAGATTTGGGTCATCCTTCAGGATAGGTTGTAGATCCTTGATAATGCGTTGGAGAGGTTTTAGTTGGGGGCTGAAGGTGACGGCTAGTGGCGTTCTGTTATTTTCTTTGTTGGGCCTGTCCTGTAGTAGGTGACTTCTGAGTACTCTTCTGGCTCTGTCAATCTGTTTCTTCACTTCAGCAGGTGGGTATTGTAGTTGTAAGAATGCTTGATAGAGATCTTGTAGGTGTTTGTCTCTGTCTGAGGGGTTGGAGCAAATGTGGTTGTATCACAGAGCTTGGCTGTAGACAATGGATCATGTGGTGTGGTCTGGGTGAAAGCTGGAGGCATGTAGGTAGGAATAGCGGTCAGTAGGTTTCCGGTATAGGGTGGTGTGTATGTGACCATTGCTTATTAGCACCGTAGTGTCCAGGAAGTGGATCTCTTGTGTGGACTGGTCCAGGCTGAGGTTGATGGTGGGATGGAAATTGCTGAAATCATGGTGGAATTCCTCAAGCGCTTCTTTTCCATGGGTCCAGATGATGAAGATGTCATCAATATAGCCCCTACTCTACTTGCGCTATATTGATGACATCTTCATCATCTGGACCCATGGAAAAGAAGCGCTTGAGGAATTCCACCATGATTTCAACAATACTCCTTTTCTTTTTATTGAGCTCAGTGACAGCCTGAATAGTATTCTCTATTAGCTGGGATTCTTTTTACTTTGGTATTGTCCTTGCTAAATGTAATTTATGAGAGCTAAGAGGTATTGTATCCAGTAACTTCCTTTTCATCTCCATGCAGGTCTGTCCACTTAATGAGAACTCTCTACGGGTACACCTACACTGCAAAAAACAAAAAAAAAACAAAAAAAAAAAACCAACAACAACCATCCAGCAGTGAGTCTCAGAGCCCAGGTTGACAGATTCGGGCTCATGCGACAGCACTAAAAATAGCAGTGTAGAAATTTCCACTCAGGATCTGAGACCCACCTACCTTGCCAGGTTTCAGAGCTGAGTTTCAGACTGAGTGAGAAGGTCTTTGCTATTTTTAGCACTTTAGCATGAGCCCCATGAGCCTGAGTCTGTAAACCCTGGGCTCTGAGACTTGTTGCCAGGTTCTCTTTTTTTTTCTTTTTTCTCTTGCAGTGTAGGTGTACCGTTAGAGACCCTGATTTTAGATTTAAGAGTATTTGTTGTGAAGAACATGAAGATGTGGGACTCGATCCTGCAAGGTGTTGAGTACCCTCATCTCCTACTTCTTTGTAGGACCTGGCCGTTGGTCTCTGCCCCAAGGAACTTAACATACTAACTGGGATGTCTGAGGGTGCAGCATATACCTCACTTCAAAAACAGTGCACCTCATCTTGGCCACTCTGCAATAAAGCTGCATGCACGTTCTGAATAGCACCACGAACAGGTGATTATTAAGGTTTAGAATGAGAATTTGTTTTCTCTTTGAAACAAACTAATTAAAGCTGCAGTTCCTTATGCCCCAAATCTTGTTTCCTTTTTTTATGTAACCAGTTGCCAACCTGTGCTTGTGTCCCACACTGCTATCTTTTGCTCTCTTACCCCTCTGTATAAATTGGGAATTTTTATAAGATGAGGCAACAGATGGAGAATAATTTAAATGCATGATCTGTAGATGGGAGCTATATCGTTTTGTCAGATTATGCTGTAAATGGTCTCAATGTAGGGTATTGCTAGAATGGTTAGGATTT